GAAACACTTTTGTCTTTCAGTGCGAATCGAAGATCTCAGTTGCAGAGTTTGAAAGACTGTTCTTCTGAATGCTGCCATTTTATGTTCTTGTCAAATACAGGCTTACAAAAGACTTTTTTTGGATCTTTCCCAGCTAAGCTGTTTTTGTTTGCTTTTAAAAAAAACATAGGGCTACTTGGATCAGGAAGGTAACCCTAGAGGATTTGCTGGACTTGTGACACACTTGCACTATTATGAACCTGCAAATTTTGTCCTAGTCAGTTTTCTCGTGAAAGGCTTGTTCCACAAGTTGTGCCGGCCCATTAAGAAAGGTAAAATAATGTTCCATGCACTGACTGTCTGAAAACATTCAGAAATTTCTGGGTGCTTCATTCCTCCTGGGGCCTTTTTCTTGCCCAGCATTCATCCCTGTATCCTTGGCCTCTCAATCTCCCCACTCTGTAGATGTCTATAATTCTGCTGGAAAATGCCAGTATACTCATATGACAATGCTAATATCATGAACCTAAATTTGTGAAATATGTTGATGAGGTAAAAATGAATGCCATAAAAAAAAAATCCATCTGCTCCAAAAAGAAAAAAAAGTCTGACTCCAGAGCAACATTTGAATAGCATGTAGTAAACAACATGGGCAAGCACTCTCTGGCTATCAAAAAAGTGGATAAAATAAGTAATAAGAAGTGCTTTTTACATCACCAAAGTCCATTTTGTGAGCTGAAATGAGAAGAGTTATGTCATCATGTAATAAGAGAGGAGCAGTTTGTAAGCAGGTAGTTGTACATGCTGTACTAACGTTACCCAAGTGCTTTGCTTAACTGTCTAACTGCTTAATTATCAAACTGGAGGACTTTTGTGTGTAATGACCTGATCCAGCCTTATTTTGCATAACCTCTCTCATGACAGTGGCAGCTGACAGGAAGACTCCTGCATGGGATTCACTTTCAACCAAGAGAATTATATTTAAAAAGTTTCTTATTTAATCTACATTCTTTCCCTTTTGATATAGGGTCTGCTGATTTTTCAGAAGATGTCATGGAAAAGCTGGTGCTCATTCTAGCAAACCTGTTTGGGAGGAAATATCTTCCAGCGGGCGTGATGAAACTTAAGAAATTTTACCAGTCCAAGGTAGGGACAGCACGGGCTGTTCACAGCAACTGGCATGGCCTCCCCCGTCAGTCAGTGTGTGGTTTCATTTTGTCAGTGTGGATGATGCAAGATGGATGTTCACCAGGTAGAATAATGAAGTGGATTAAGATAAAGTGGTTGTGATTTCACTCCAGAATCAGCTGAGTCTTTAGTTGAAAGAAAAGTATCAGATTATTCAAACATATTTTAGAGATGAAGGGCCATGATAGTAAGTATATAATCATTTGTCAAAATTTCAAAGCATGGACTACACAAGTTTTTTTTATGCAATACAACTTAAATATCTCTTCCCAAATAGAAACTTTTCAGTGGAGTGAGGAAAAAAAAGTAATTTTGTCTCAATGCACTTGAGCGCTTGAACATTGTAATATATGGACTGAGGGCTAACTCCTTAAAAACCAGGGGCAGTATGATGAGGATGAGCACTGGCACCAGTTAACATCATGTCCAAGGTAGGACTGGCACTCTTGGAGTAATAGTTACCTAATCTAGGTGAATTAACCGTTCCTTACCGTATTTCAGGTCTTTCTAGAAGATCTGCCACAAGACTTTGCAGATGCTGTCCATGAGTACAACAGCAAAGTAGAGAAAAACTTCGCTTATTTTCTTCTAACAGCTGCCAAGCTGGCTGATATGGAACAAGAATATAGACTTCCGCTGTCAAAGACAGGTAGGCAGTGCAGAATGGTGAATTCAGACATGCTAGGGAGATACAATTTCTAGTTCCCTTTTTTTTTACAGTAAGCACGATAGGTTATATTGCATATGATAGGAACGTACAGGAAAAGGATCGGTTTAATTGTTTTTTTATCATTTTTGAGAAAAGAAAGAGGTTTCTTTTTAAATGGAAAATAAATAACTATGGTAAAGGTAATTCTTAATAGCTTTTAATTTTCTGATAATGACTGCATTTGCAGCTGTGATAGTTGAATTGTTTTAATTGTCATAGAAAGGCTAGGTTTTCAAGATTTGAATAGCATTAAAGAGAAATAACAGTTAAAGAGGAGCATTGCTCTATCTTTTCAATCAAGTTTCTTATGCCAGTAAACAGTGCCTAATAACCAAGGCAATAGGAAAAGCGATGAAATTACTAAGCTGTTGCACCTTGTGAAGAAACGGACTCAGTCTGGGGTGCAGAGTGAGACAACTTTATTTCCAAACCGACTTCTTTTTATACTTTCTTAACACAAGTGTTGCAAAGCGCACAACCAATCAGCATCTGGCCACCTGCGCGGTTGTCTGGCTTTGTTTCTTTTCTTCTGGCAAGACACGTCGCACACGAGGCAGGGGGAGGTGTTCCTCAGTCCTCGTCTTTCTCGGCTCTGTCCCCCATCTGCTGCAAAGACTGACACCCTTGTGGTTAACTATCTGCTAACAAGGTACTATTGTCTTTGAACAAGCCTCCACATCAAGCAACCTGGATTTCCAGTGGACAACTACATAATCTCATGCTATTTCCAGAAAGAAAAATATCAACACAATGCGACATAGCACTATCCCTTTATTAGACCATCTAAAAATACCAACACAATGAAGAACAGAAAGATACTTGTTAGAAGAGAAACACATAAAACTCTTTTTCCTCTTAACAAATACAAGTATGGAGCCCCGGAAAGCACTGCATTGGTGTAGTCTTTGCAATTTTATAGCAAAATTCAATCTGTTCTATTCATCTTAAGATTTCATATTTTAATAATGGAGAGAGCCCACAGCTTGATACATTAAGTGGAAAAGCAGGGAATGTAGGGCAAAGAGCTGGCCATGCCAGGAGGACGGCATTCCAGGTTAGGAGAGCAGAGCAGAGGCTGCCTCGTGCTTTTGGGCGAGTGCCACAACAGAGTTTTTACTGGCACGTGAAGCACGTGCTCACACACACAGGCTAGTGCAGTTCTGTGCAGTGAGCTCTGCAGGTTCATGTTGCCTTCGCCCCCTTGTTAGTGTTGCTGGTGTCACTTTTAGCCAGGATCTCAGCCATGGAAAATGAATTGCCTCCTCTCCTTGTTTAAATAAATGATGCCAGAGGCAGGCCTGGGGATAGTCTCCCCATTTTGCTGAAGCTGTTTGACTTTGAAAGTAGTAAATACATTCCATTAGAATTAAAGAAAAAATAAAGCATGATCAACCAGCCTGTAGTTCAAGAGGCAGAGGATACATATATATATATATGTATATATATATATATATATATATTTAATACAACTTTGGAGCAAGGCTGGGGAAAAATAAAGTGTCAGCCTCCGAAATGTAGCTACCAATGGTGTGAAGGATGCAGCTACAGCAACGGTACTGTAATGCAAAGCAGAAAAGGCTTCAGGGAAAGCATTAAAAGCATCACTGACATTCTAGAAACAAATTAGCTTAGTGAAGTCAAAGTACAAGAAAAGTTTAGAAATATCGAGATGGCTCTTCCCGTGGAGGTAGAGGCACCTGAAACGCTGCTGTGGTGTGAAGGCTACGAGGTCGCACGCGGCCGCGTGAAGCAGCTGCTTGGCCTGTGCCAGCCTGGGCCCACTGAAGCCCTCACCAGCCCTCCGGGAGGTCAGCAGTGGGCCTGGGGCACTGGGCTTAAGACTCACAAGACAGCAATAAAATAAAAAGCTATTCTTTAGCCTAGGACAGAATAAAAGATGGTAAAAAAAGGTAGGAGGAAAAAGAAGGTAAAAGAAGTCTTCAAATAGTAAAATTCACTTTTTTGGAGTAACTTTGGACAGGGATGGGGCAAGAAAAAAAGAGGTTTAAAGTACAGGGGCAGAGCTTTAAGCATGATTGTGCTCATCCCTACAAAGCTTTTTCTTACATACTGGAATCAATTGCTTAGAGATTCCTAAGAAAAAGCCGAGCAAGAATGATTTAAGTGTGAAAGTGTGATTCTATTTTCTATCATTATCTAACCAAGCTGAAATTTGCTTACTTCTAAGAGTCTTTGGTGAAGGGGTGCTGGTGAGCGCATTTGCTTACCCTGTCCTTCAAAATTCTGCTCTAGATTTTACATTTAGAGACTGGCACGGCTCTGAACTAGCATCTCACCTGATGGACAACACCAAAAGCGTTTCTGCCATCTCCCCTTTTGCGTGTTTGTCTGGCATGAGTGACCACGACTTATTTAAAGCAGCAAACGTTAATCAAGTAAGTTAAGAGGAAGGGGGAGAAGGGATGAATTTTCCTGACGTTTAATAAAAAAAAACGATGCCTGCTGCAGTTTGCACAACCATCGCTCTGTATGAGAAAAGTATGTTTGAAAAACCTAAAAATCGGAATCTCACCTTCATCCTCATATTGTTTCATGCTTGTGGCCAATACCTGCCTACAGGGGATCTAATCAGTATATATAAGAACCTCAAGGGAGGGAGTGCAGAGGATGGTGCTGGTCTCTTTTCAGTGGTGGCCACTGACAGAACTAGAGGTAATGGCCACAAACTGAAGCACCAAAAGTTCCACAGGAACTTAAGGAAAAATTTTTTAACAGTGAGGGTGCCAGAGCCCTGGAACAGGCTGCCCAGAGAGGTTGTGGAGTCTCCTTCTCTGGAGATCTTCAAACCCGCTTGGACGCAGTCCTGTGCCACGTGCTCTAGGTGACCCTGCGTGTGCAGGGGGGTTGGACTAGATGAGATCTAGAGGTCCCTTCCAACCCTAAGCATTCTGTGATTCTATGATTTAATCTATTCAAGAGTAGGTGATCTGTGCAGGTGCAAAACAAAATTTCAACCCAAGAAATCTAGTGGCCTCCTTATCTGTCACATTGTTCTGGAAGCAGAGCGAGACTGCACGTAAATCCATCGGTCAGTGAACTTGTCTGCTAGGTCAGGAAGCCTACCAGGACTTTGGTCAAAGTTTTGGAGAGGCTCAGGATTAAAGATTTGGAACTTCCTGGCCCAGGATCTGTAGGTGCAAGTTTGCCACAGTAGAGATTTGAGCAAAACAGGGTAGTAGTTTTGTATTTTTTTTCAGGCTGTCCTCGGTTCTCTTAGAATTAACGTCAGCAACTGCCCTCTGCTTCACCTGGAAAAGTACGACGAGCAAGGAAGGAAGCAGCCGCTCAACGCGTACGCGCTGGACTTCTACAAGCACGGCTCGCTGGCCGCGCTCTACACCGACAACTGGTGCGCGCGGCGCGACGGGAGGTCACACCGTGCCCTCCAGCGTTCTCCAGGGGTGCATCTCCCAGTATGCTCACACTAGAGGAACGTTTTAACAAAACCAAGCGGCTAGACTAAGTCCAGTGATCGTAGCCAAAACGTTAGCTGTAGCTTCGGATGTCTTCATAACACACTCATAGCATTCTCTTTTTAAGAGGGAAAAAAGGGTTAAAACAACAACAACCCCAGAATCTCTGGGTGCCCAGAGCTGGTCAGTGACTGTCTCATCTCATCATACTTCAACATTAGTCCTACAACACAGGCAGTTTTCCCTCCTGTTTCCTCCTGCCTCACTTAATACTCTTGACTTTTCCAAGCTGGGAGTTTTCAGTCTTTCTTTATTCTCTTCTGCCTGTTACTTTTAACATTACTGTTGTCTTTATTATTTTACCAAGTTTTAAACATTTCTGTTACAGTCTTCCGTATAACTGCTTTGAGTTTTTACATTTCAGGGCCTATCCTATCTCTGTAATTGTGGTAAACCTCAATTGAGTAATTAAAAAAAAGCCGAAGAACCTGCAAAATTCCTGCACTTGATGTAGCTTCATTTTTTTCTTAACTTACCTTTGTTATGGGGCCACTTGCAAGCTTCATCCTTTTGATTTTCTTTTCAAACTCTATCTGAGGTTCTCTTTTGCCCATAGCATTTATGACTGTATCATCCTTGTCAGGCTTTTAAAGAGACCCCCTGGAACACGTTTCATAGCACATGTCACAACACAAAATTAGTGCCCTATTATCAAGGGACACGGGCTACCCAGAGCTGTTATCTGCAATCCAATATTGACTGCAAACCTACTAATTTTCCTGCACTTGATGTAGCTTCATTTTTTTCTTAACTTACCTTTGTTATGGGGCCACTTGCAAGCTTCATCCTTTTGATTTTCTTTTCAAACTGTATCTGAGGTTCTCTTTTGCCCGTAGCATTTATGACTGTATCATCCTCGTCAGGCTTTTAAAGAGACCCCCCCTAGAACACGTTTCACAGCACATGTCACAACACAAAACTAGTGCCCTATTATCAAGGGACACAGGCTACCCAGGGCTGTTATCTGCAATACAATATTGACTGCAAACCTACTAATTTTTTTTAATACTCTATTACTAGAAACTGAAATTTATGAAGTTTTATTTCAATGAGGGGGTAGTATCTCTCTGCAGACCATAGGTTCTTAGTCACCTCTGGGTCAGTAACATAGCTGACACTATTTCCTGCTGCATTTAGCCAGCAGACTAACCGGAAGTGAAGTATTGGGGCTTAGAGTGGGGTGCTTTAGTTATTCAAACCATTGAAACTCTGCTTCCACACTACTGTTGCTTTGACCTTTTCCAAAAACTTGAATGTTTTGGTAGGCTTAGTATAATAACAAAAACATTCATCTCTGGCACATTGTTAAGTTGACTCGAAGCTCCCAGTTTTCTACAGTAAACCTAATGAAATAGTATAACAATGATTGCTGCCCATGTATACACTGTATTTGCACCTCAGAGGTGACAGGAGTTATTCCAGTGAAAAAGTATGGTATAAACACAGAGTCATCTCTCTCTTTTTTTTTTTTTTTATAGGTTAAACACAGGGGATGCCTACTGCCACCTCAAGGATTTTCTACTCCTCATTAAGAGCATAGTGTATGAAAAACTTGTACTTTTTAATATTCAATGTATATTATATCTTTAAAACCACTTAAAATGCCTTTTTTTTTTAAATAAACAGAACTTCATGGAGTGAACTGTGTGACAACCCAAATGATCATGTTCTCCTGGCCTTCCAAAAACTGGCTGAAAACTATGAGAAGAAGCTGGATGCAGCCTGAGCACCAAGCTGGAGGATCAGTGATGAACTGCAGGAGCTGATGCATAATCAACTTTCCCTGCAGAGCAGCTGTCTTCAGGGACTAGCTTTGGGTTCCCCCCCTCTTTAAGAAAGCTGTAGTGATACCCAGTACTAGTCACTCAAGATTTGCCTTAGAAAAATGTAAGCTTTACCTGTTGACATTTTAGCATGTTTTATTGTTACAAATCATTGTTTTTAATATATTGCAGAACCAGGTAATTTTAGGTATTTTTCAAATTCAAGGGCTTTTTTGAGCAGAAATGCACCAAACCACTGTCATTAGCAGAGCACTGAAACCCTTCAGCAAATTTGTGTTCAGTAGTTACTTTGGCAATTATCAAATTGTTTGTTTTGATTCTTCTCCAAGGTGTGCATTGGGTTATAAAGCAGACTTTGCACCATCATGACCCCTTATAACTCTACAATTTTCACCTACAAAGATTTAAGTATAAAAAAAGGGCTTTTATCAGAATAATAAAGTTTGATGAAAGTTTCAAGGCATGTGTTCAATTGTCTCTTTACATATTGTACCCTTAAGAGTTGGAAAGATAAGCGTGGGGGGGTCATGCAGTACATGTCAAAAGCTTCCTTATAAAAGGAAAATTATTCAGTAAAGTCTACTTCTTATTCCCTTTACTGAACAGAACACAAGTTTGCACCACTGTTTCCATTCATTCATGAAAAGTCTTTGGTTTAACCACACAGTTTAGCTCACCTGCAGCCCGACATCTGTACGCACATATAGATGTGTGTGCATACACACACACACACGCAGAAAAAACTTCGGAAAAATCAGGCTTTGATGGCAGCCCTTCTTGCAACACACAGTTTTATGCTGATAACCAAGAAAATGGTGGGGACCCTTTCCAGGGACAAGCGGGGTCTCTTCAGCCCCTCTCCCGTGCAAACTGAGCCCTGAGCTCGGACCAGAGGCTGCTGGAGGTGGCCCCGTTCCCAAGCCCGTCCGGCCTCGCTGCCGGCTGCGAGCACCAGGAGACCCCCCAGCACTCGGGCACTTGCTCAGCTACCATTAACAGACTAACTTCACTCCTTCCGCAGGTTTCCCACCTGTATGAAACAAAATTACAACAGAAATAGAGCATAATGGCAAGAACATACTGCTTTAACTTGTTGTGGAAAATAAAATTTACTTAACAGTGGTGATCATGACACACATAGGCAAATCTTATGCAAACATCCCTTGACTGAGGGTGACGTAACCTAATTTACGCCCGTCCATGCTCACGTTTCCCGATACAAATGGAATAATCTTTTCAGCTGACATCACACACAGTTCATTGACAGGACTCAGGTCAGACATTTAATGCTCTTGTTTCACCAGATAATTACAAGATTTTCTCTTTTCAAACTATAAACATTTGTTGTGAGAGTATGGCCCCATCTTTCTCCAAAAAGAAAATATACTAAAGAATCAAAATACTACTTCTGGAGTGTTCTAGGTTTTTTTCTGTTTGTTGTTTTTCACAGCCAGATCATTCCCACAGTTGTGCTGATCCATCATCACATTACTTCAAATACATAACTTAAGAGAATAAGTGATAAAGCATATTACACCAGATTCTCCTTCTCCCAAAACAAAACTGGACCTCTTTTCAGAACACAACAGGTGCCTCAAGCTTTGGTACAAAGTTACTAATTCTTTTCCGTTGGAAAAGATCTTGGGTAAAAAACAAACTGGTTTGGGGTATCATAATAGTGATTTGACTTGCTGAAGAATGCCATATTTCTTATATATATATATATATATGTTAGAAAAAACAATACTTGGATAATGTCTATAAGAACTACTTTACTTCATCACTTTTACTAAGAAGTTAATAGCTTAACAAGTGAAATACCAAGAAATTGAAAGTTCTATTGCTATCTCAGCAGACTGTAGTTTTACTATAATATATTGCAAGTTAAGTGCCCTGCTTATTATTTTTCTTTCCCCTGCACTATGATCTTGGTCACCAAAGCAGATACACGAGAGCTTGCCAAGCTGGAAACGCAGTCCCAGCTCTGCAG